TATTGGTACCAATATCCTGTTTCATTTGTTTTAGTTAGATGAAGCAAACAGAACAACTAATCTTAAGGGTAATCATTCCTTTTTCCCATTCCATATGGTAAAGAAACTTTAATACCCAAATAATCTGTCTAGTTATCAAATTCTCTTTTAATCCGGATTTGGGGAGAGGTTATACCACTTGCAGATGGGCAAGGATTCCAAGTGAGTCCTTCCGCTTGACCCCCTCCTTCCAGCCTAGCTGTCAATTCCCCAAACCAAAGCCTGTTATATTTGAAGCCGTCCGGATGATTGACCGCAATTATGTAAATGAAATAACTTGATGCAAATGAATTCAACTGGTGAGAATGGCTTCTATTGTGCCCATTTATTTATTTTTAATGCCCATTCAGTTCCAACTGGCACTCTTTCTAATTGCTACAGTTGTCCATTCAAGGAAAGGTCATAACAACACAAAGGTGTGTAGAACTTGAGGTGTCTCCTTGGAACATGTGGCTCCCAGGGACTCTTCTCCCCAATTGCCCCCAGTTTATAATTTCTGATTGCTAAATAAAGTGCTAAAATGCAAAATACTCAGATAAGGAATTGTAGCTGCTGCTGACAATGTTATCCATTAGTCCTATCCAACTCTTGGCTATTCTATGGGCCAGGTGTTCTCCACATCTTCTGATCTTGCACTACTTCTTCGAGTTGCTCCATGGTCTGGCTGGCATCAGTTGTAATGGTGGAATAGTAGCTAATAGTTTTCAGTTAAACAGTTTCAAATGAAGCTATGTATTGTTCCTACAATGGCAGCATTCAAGTCTCCCCCCCCCCCCACCATTAAGTTGTAGAGCATGTCATTCAAAAATTAGATGTGGCCAGATTTAAATCTCATTGTCAATTTTTGAAAACTTCAATTGCCTGTCGGTACCAGTTCTTTTTAATCTTCCTTGGAAGATATCGAAGCACATGCTACTCTTACGATCCAACTCGCGATATCGTCGGAGATATTTCGATGTGCAGCAGATGCATCCTGTGAATGAAGAAGGGCTTATCGCTAACTCAACTTTTGCACAAATGCCAACATTTCATAGAGTGATTTGGCTCCGGCCCAAACTCTCATGACTTCTTTTGAGATCAGTCCAACTCAGAAGGCTGATTCGGGAATGTCTGACTTGAAGCCCAAGCATGAGTGCCCTCCTCCATCTCGCTCTCTCTATGGGGACGACAAAATTGCCAAATGCTTATAAGTAGCCTTGCCAAGTTTTGCTGAGCCGAGCAGAAAACCTGATGCTTTTAACTAAGCTAAGGATTTTTCATACGTTTCTTGAACTGGGGAATGGCCAAGGCAAGGAAAACGTAAATGAATGATGTTGGCTTGTACATGGCCATTTGCTTAAAAACAAAAGGCATTAAATAGGGAAGACCCAGTTTGCAAAGGCCAAGTGAGGCAGGTAAGTTGTCCGGAACACAAACTAGTTAAGTCCAATTGGTAAAAATAAATAAAATAAATGCCCCCCCCCAGATAGTTTCAACTTCATCATCCCGTATTTTTACACCTGTTTAGCTGCTGCTGTAGAAAGTTGGGCTAATTACCTGTGGTGGATTTGGGGGAGCTAAGGCATCAGTAAGGGCTGTTGGTCCAGACTTTATTGATAGATAGGATCTTACGTTTAGTACAGCCCAGTTTATAAAGCAATCAAACAAGGTTCTTGATGCTTTTAATTCCAGACCATCAACTAATCCACTCAACTCTTCTTCCTGGTTCTTGAAAGGGAAAAAGGAAAGCAGCAAGGTGGATCCTCAAAATAATATTTGGTGACCCACCATCAAAACATCCTTCTCTTTCTTTTCTCAGATATGTTCATCTCTTATCTTCCCAGCCGTTGGGACTAGTAATGTTAGTTACTGAGCTAAATGGAAGCTGGATGCATCAGGAGTTTTACTCAGCATCAAATTCCAAACACACACACACAATCTTTGCCTGAGAGTTGTCCATCACACCCCCACCCCAGCAGAAGACCAGAGAATGCCATGTGGAAATTCCCTGGAAAGAAGGAAGGCAATGCCTTCATAATAAGCTCACAATAAACATTTTGAGGATTAAACATCTTGATCAGACTAATATACGGGTCATTGGCAATGCACTTGGGCTTCCTCTCCAGAACTTAGAAATGT